AAACTGTTTTTTGCATGAAATGTGTTATGCTGGTTCTGAAATATTTATTAAATTATTTTTTTGTGAATTTTTTCAGCGAAGTGTGACAAATATGGTAAATATATTCTGAAAATCCGGGGAAAAATTGAGCCAATTTTAACATAAAATTTACACTTTTTTTGGTAATATCTGAAAAATTACATCATATACCCCCACTTTTGATGTTATTTTCTAAATATTTAAGATAACTTTGACCTATTTGCTTAAAATAAGAAAAAGTTTAAGACTTTAAAATAATTTTCATTCTTATCAAATTTTCAATGCCTGGAAAATCACATTTTATTAGTGCAGAAAGGTCAAATGATTGATTATGCGAAGCAATTTGAAACTTTTTCTTAGTCATAATTTTAAAGTGTCTTTTTTAAACAGACTTAGAGTTCATTTTGTTTCATGCTTTAATTGGATAAAAATATTGCAGGGAAAATGTCGAAGATGTAATTTTTGATTAAGACACAAATTTCAGTGCAAAAAGGTCGTATTAAATGTACTGTAGCGCCAAAAGAAGCGTATTGACTCCCATTTTTTGATTTGAATTTTAATTAAGCTATGTATGTAGAAACTAAAAATATACCTGGCAAAAAAAGTTTAAGACTTTTAATATCAGGATCTAACGTCTTTAAGAACATGTATTTGACTAACATGTACGAGTAAGTACACGTAATGATCGACTAAAATCTGCAGATGTAGCTAAAACTTGTGAACATTTTTTTACCGTCTAAGGAAGCTCTAAACTTTATTATCAAGAGGCCCACGGGCCACATCGCTCACCTGAGTAACTTGGGTAATGCAGTTCTTTACCAGATTTCCCCTCTTGCTTTACCTATCGTGCCCCCCTTCCCCCTTCCTTTTCATGATTTTTACACTTTAGAATCTACACTACCACATGCAGGATGCTTCCACATAAGTTTCAGCTTTCCTGGCCCAGTGGTTTTTGAGAAGAAGATTCTTAAAAGATTTTTCCTAAATATATCTACGTAAAACTTGGATTCCCTATTGTGGCCCCGCCCTACCCCCGGGGGTCATGATTTTAATAATTTCATATCTACACTACCCCAGGATGCTTCCACATAAATTTCAGCTTTCCTGGCCTAGTGGTTCTTGAGAAGAAGATTCTTAAAAGATTTTTCCTAAATATATCTATGTTAAACTTGGATTCCCTATTGTGGCCCCGCCCTACCCCCAGGGGTCATGATTTTAATAATTTAATATTTACACTACCCAAGGATGCTTCCACATAAGTTTCAGCTTTCCTAGCCCAGTGGTTCTTGAGAAGAAGATTTTTAAAGATTTTCCCTATATACTCATATGTAAAATTTTAATCTCCCTATTGTGGCCCCGCCCTACCCCCTGGGGTTATGATTTTAACATTTTAATATCTACACTACCCAAGGATGCTTCCACATAAGTTTCAGCTTTCCTGGCCCAGTGGTTCTTGAGAAGAAGATTTTTAAAGATTTGTTCTATATATTTCTAAGTAAAACTTGGATTCCCTATTGTGGTCCCGCCCTACCCCCCTGGGGTTATGATTTTAACATTTTAATATCTACACTACCCCAGGATGCTTCCACATAAGTTTCAGCTTTCCTGGCCCAGTGGTTCTTGAGAAGAAGATTTTTAAAGATTTGTTCTATATATTTCTATGTAAAACTTGGATTCCCTATTGTGGCCCCGCCCTACCCCCTGGGGTTATGATTTAACATTTTAATATCTACACTACCCAAGGATGCTTCCACGTAAGTTTCAGTTTTCCTGGGCCAGTGGTTCTTGAGAAGAAGATTTTTTAATGACCCCACCTTATTTTTGTTTTTTCTTGATTATCTCCCTTTATAAGGGGACTTGGCCCTTTATTTTAACAATTTAAACTCCTCTTACCTAAGGATGCTTTGTATTAAGTTTGGTAAAAATTGGTCCATTGGTTCTTGAGAAGAAGTTGAAAATGTGAAAAGTTTACGGACGGACAGATCTAGACGGACGGACGGACGACGGACAAAATGTGATCAGAAAAGCTCACTTGAGCCTTTGGCTCAGGTGAGCTAAAAAGTGCTTATTGGATTTGGAGAAGAACATATGTAATGTTGTGCATATTGGGACTATTTAGTTAATTTTCAACAGGATACCTGTGTTACAACGCAATTTGAAAAATTACGCACTTTGAAAAAAATTTTCAAAGTGCGTTAAATTTAGGATCAAATCAACGCACTTTGAAAAAAAAAATTCTCATTCAAAATGCGTTGATATCGACCATAGTAACGCAATTTGAAAAAATGTGTATGGCTTGGTCAATATTCTTGAAAATCTTAGGTATGATAAATAATTGGACCTGTTGGATAACTTTTCGGTGATAAGGTAAGTTCTGGACGTGAAAATGAGCGATTTTGATTTTTCCATACTTGAAAAATTCTTTCTCTCTTAAAGGCAGAGATTTTTTACCGGGTGGTAAATTCCAGGTGAGGGAGGGGCTTATTTTGTACAGGTGTGAATGTTTAACTGTACTTAATTTTTTTCCAGTTTGCATGCATTTAATGTAAACTAAAATTTATTGAAAGTTTTCAACGTCACTCCATTATACGATCACATATATTTGGATGTAGCATAGGCATCAGTACCGTGGAGGGGGGGGGGGTTAGTCACACAAATGTTTTGCAAAGATATACATAATATAGGAATTAAAAATTGGGGCTTACCTAGGGGGTTGTTGTTCCACTTTAAATTTGCTACCTAAGTAAAAAAGAGTTGGTCTGAGAGGCCTTCCATAAACTCATCTTCATTTTGGAAAATCAAGCAGGTTTTCGCAGAGGTGTGGGTACAACAGACCATATTTTTTCATTATATTCTCTTATAGAACTTTTCAAAAGACACAAAATGAAACTGTACTGTGCATTTATTGATTTTGAGAAAGCATTTGATTCGGTTTGGCATATTGGATTATGGAATAAAGTTTTACAAACTAATATTGATGGAAAATGTTTTAAGATTATAACCAACATGTATAAAGGTATAATATCAAAAGTAGTAGTGAATGGAATAAGTTCAGAAATGTTTGAATGTAATATAGGAGTTCGACAAGGGGAGAATTTGTCGCCATTTTTATTTTCATTGTACTTGAATGACCTTGAGAAATTTTTAGCTGGAAACAAAGCTAAAGGTTTATCTTGTTTATCAGAAAAACTCATGAGAGAACTAAATCTCTACTTACAGCTTTTTGTATTATTATATGCTGATGATAGTATTTTGTTATCTGAAAACCCAGATGATTTTCAGTACATGCTTAATACTTTTTCTAAATATTGCAAGAAATGGCATCTTAAGGTTAATAGTAAGAAAACAAAAGTCGTAATATTTGGTAAAGGGAAAAATAATGTCCATTTTACATTTGAAGGCTCCAAGCTTGATATAGTTGATAACTTTAAATATTTGGGTGTTACATTTTGTAAAAGTAATTCTTTGAATCTAAATACTGAAGAATTATATGATAAAGCTACTAAAGCTATGTATGGTGTTATTGGTAGATGTAGAAAACATAACTTATCAATTGATTGTAAATTAGACATGTTTGATAAAATTGTCAAACCAATACTCTTATATGGGTGCGAAATATGGGGTTTTCACAATACTAAACTGATAGAGAAATTACACCTAAAATTTTGTAAACATATTCTGAGCCTGAAAATATCAACACCAAACTTTATGGTTTATGGAGAACTTGGTAGACACCCTTTATTAATTGATATCGAAGTTAGAATGATCTCATTTTGGGGTAAACTCATTAATGCTCAGTGCTCTAAATTATCAGCAAAACTTTTATGTGCATTGAAATTATATAAGAATCCATGGTGTGACTTTGTACAGAAAATTTTAAATGAATGTGGATTGACTTATGTCTGGTATGAAAATTCAACTGATATATCTTGGCTCAAAAATAAAGTATATACCACTCTTTTAGATCAGTTTAAACAAACATGGTTTAGTGAAGTGCAAACTTCCCCTAAAGGTTTGAACTATAGAATCTTTAAAAAATAATTAATTTTTGAAGACTATTTGTTGAATTTGCCTCCAAAACAATCCAAGAAATATTGTTTATTTAGAACTGGGAATACAAAATTACCAATTGAAACTGGTAGATGGTTTAACATCCCTAGAGAAAACAGAATTTGTAAATTATGTAATAGCAATGACATTGGGGATGAATTTCATTACTTATTTAAATCTACTGATGTGTCTATAAAGAACTCAAGATTCATGTATTTGTCAAAATATTTTTATTTGAATACAATTATTTTGAAATTTGAAATGCTTTTTAATGTAACCAACAATACTTATCAACTCTGCAAGATTTGTAAATTGTTAAACATTATAATTGAGGAGTTGAAATTACTCTGTTATCCTTTCTTCATGTATGTAATATTTCATGTTCATTATACTGTATATATCTTCTCTTCACTGTTTTGTCAGTTATGAGAATAAAGTTCAAGTTCAAGTTCTCCTTGTTCTCGATGAGGGTTAATCAATACAAGTAAATTAAAACGTTTTTCGAAAGATATAATTATAACAAATTGATTCTCTCAATTACTAATTTCTAAGTCTAGAATTTTGGTTTTGTACATATTTTTTTTCAAAGTGCGCTAATTGTCCACATGGTTAAAATGTTGATGTACACTCTTAACGCACTTTGAATTTTTTTTTTTTAAAGTGCGTTGAGTGTGTCCCGGATTTAACGCACTTTGAAAAAAATTTTCAAAGACCGTTGCCACATACTTGCCTTATTTCCGCAGAAAAAAAATTTCAAAGATGAAAGTCTATTCGTGAGCAGAAATCACTATTGTTTACTGTACATATATACATAGAGAAAATAAATGGAAATATGAGTTAATTTATTCTTCGTCTAATATTATGCTAAAAAAATTATATCTATTACAAATTGTGTAATTTTAAAAGTATAAATATTAATCCTTTTTTCCTACCTTACTTCTAAGGGCAGAACACTGTAACTGCGTAAAACAACCCTATAAATAGAGCATTTTAGTGCGCAGTGTTTAGGGTTCCTTAAAGCACAACTTTCCTGAAAAAAAAAACAATATTAGACATTAATTTTCATGAAAAGGTATTATGTTCTTTTTCATTCAAATTTCATTTCTATATCCATAAACTGGATAAAATGTGAAATCTTTCTTTCTCTCTCGTTTTAAATTAATACATGTAGTAAAGTTGATCTTTCTTTTTAATTTAGGACAATTTCATTTAAATAACTAAAGGAAGTTTTGTTTGTAAATAAGTACCTATACCGTGATATTAATTGGAAATAACAGTACAACAGAAACTAGACAAAACAATTTTTTTTTATTCATCTAATTTCAATCAAAGTTATAATTATAATATTATTATGGGGAGAAATCCAAATTAAAGTTATTTAAAGAATTTCATTTCAGAATAAGTAGATACACATATTTTTTTTCAATTGAAAAGTCTGGTTTTATGTCGCATTTTTTTTTCTTTTTCTTTTTTATCAGTGTACAGGATCTAGTTTCGAAAGTGTTAATAATATTTAAAAAGAATTTTAAAATATAAAACTATAATTACAATTGAAACGTGTTTTATCCTTCTGATAAATAAGATTTAAACTTTTTTTATACAACGGCATGCAGCAAATTTCTATGAATATGGTGAGTTGAAATGGTTAAAAATGTCCCTTTCTGGTACCCCTTTAGTACTTCGATTGTCAGAGTGACCTCACCGATTTTCAATAATAGTTTTAAAAAATTATATAGTTCTGTCATTCATTCATTATTTTGTTAGATTTCTAGTAATTGATATACATTTGAGTGATAAGGTAGAAATCCTGCTTGGTATCGATGAAATAAATCATTGATATAAAAAAATTGTACACGCGTTTAAAAATAATTTTCTCCACAATTTTGCTAACACCTGATAATAAAGATACAGGTCTGTAACTGGAAACCACAGAAGGGTCGTCCTTTTTGAAAAGAGGAACATTTTTACAAAAGGGTGGAAAAACCTTTTCTGATAAAGACCTATTAAATAACATAGTGGTTTAACAACACTGAAAAGAGTAGATTTAACTTTTTATGACTAATACAATCATGACTAATAGCTTTGTTCATAAGAGCTATTGAAATTATGTCATTATATATATGATATTTAGAATCGTCAATAGAGGAAATAGAAGAAAAATATATATCCTTTTGATGTTATGTCTCTGTTCTAGAAAAATTGCCAAAATGACCTTTGTCTTGTTGGCAATCAAATACTTACACATTTGTTGCTGATCCTTTTTCCTCCATTTTAAGGAGGAAGTATTTTTTTAAAAATTAAAACCAGAGGTACTGTAAAGGGAAATATCAGCTTGTTCAAAATAAGTACAGTGACATTTTCACTTGACGACCTTATTCTAAATCACTGAATCATTATTTATATGCTACACTAGAACATTATATCAGGTTCACTTGACCACAAATATCTCATGATGGAATATGTAATTAAGATTTTACCCTGAATTAAAACGAAAGTATACAGTTAATTTGCTAGATTTGTTGAGTTTTCTGAAAGGCAAAGCCTACATTATTATTTCAGATTCCCTATAAATCAAACAAACAATATGAATGTTATTTTGATTGTTTAATATGGTGCTTCTGGCCGCGATGATAAATTTGCTGGGATTACCACAGGGTTACCCCACAATCAACAATCAATACAACAACTGTGACGACCCAAATCGGGCGGATCATGCACTGGGTAGGTCACAAGTGCATGAACGTCACCAATGCAATAATCAATCAAATTCAATCAATTAATTATTAATCAATCAGTCAATCAATTCAAATATCAATCAAGTCAATTACTTGTCAATCAATCATTAATCAATCAATTAATCAATTCAAATATCAATCAAGTCAATAAACAATGGAATGAGCGTAAGAATATGTGCTGCACTCGTCGAATTGCGTTAAGGTGCGACGGAACACACCACTTGCAAGGGCCATGACTACTCGTGTCTACTACGAGTAATCATTGAACTGCAACCGCCACAAATGGGGTGCCAAGAACATGGTGACGGCGGCAGTACCTCAACGCAAATGGTCACCGTCGACCAGGGCCTGCTCATTCACCAATACAAATTTACAGAATAAGTGATTACACAGTTTTTACAAAAGGGGATAAGAACTTGTCCGTATAAAACAATTTCTATTTACTCTAACATTGTTGATACTTACCGGCACTGTATTTTTCCATTGTTACTTGTATGAAATTACCTAAAAGGCTGTAACTCTTTTTAGGGCTTTTAACTCATTAAAACACCTCTTACCAAGTTTCCTTGCGTCACAAAGTAATATAGAACTTAGGCGGAGAAAAATAACTATCTTTGTGAGTGTTGCTTCTAGTTGTATTAAAGGGTTTTGTACTGAAACAAACCCAAATGACATACCGAAATTGGAAAAGGAAACGATACTGTCACCTCTTAGCTTAAGGAATTAGTCTTAGCTACTTTTAACGATAACAATGTATTATCAGTGTCCTAATACACCCCCATCACCCGAACTGATCCCTTTATATATCTTTCCATATATATAAATTAAATCCCAATTTTAGTACTCTACAATTTATGAACCAATTATCCTTTAGTAATAGAGAAAAAATCAGAATACCAATAAAGAATGTAAAAAATATGTAAACACATGGTAATAACTTTATTAATGTACATGTATAAATGATATGCTTTTGAAAGCCAGCAATTCTCAAAATTGTGGGTGTTGCTAAAACGCGGAACGGAAAACGGAACGGAAAGCGGAACGGAACGGAAAACGGAAAATATTATTTCCGATTAAATCATTTAAAATACATCAATTTTCTAAGAAACGATGTATTTATACATATTTAATCACTCCTTAATAAATACAAGATGATTTAGTCATGATAAGTCTTTTACGAAAGTAGTGACGTAGCATTCGCTTTTGAAAGGGGGGGGGGAGAGAGAGAGAGAGAGAGAGAGAGAGAGAGAGAGAGAGAGAGAGAGAGAGAGAGAGAGAGAGAGAGAGAGAGAGAGAGACAGACAGAGAAGTCGAACTTGACAAGCGCAAAAAAGACAACTCTGGATAAATTCCAACTCCAATTTCTTTCAGTACTATTTTTTACACCAACTTACTACATTAATTTAACAGACAGAAAGTGTTGGGGGTTTCAATGAACATTTCTGTAGTAAAAAGGTTATATTTGGTAAACAGTTCAAGGGGGGGAGGCAATATTTGGTATCTAAATGAATAATGGTAATTGGTAAGAAAAATAAAAAGTGAAAAAAAATCTTAAGATTACTATTAGAGCACCCCTTTCCGGCAAGCCCGGATAAACACTTCGATTGTAAAACTGGTTGTTAAATTTTATACAAAAGAGAATCGCTTCCTGTCAATTAAATTCTTGGAGAGATGGGGGTTGTAGATCTTAATTGTAGTAAAATTAATATATCATCTTAACATTCAATGAAGTTAAAGTGTGTTTTTTTGGAAGGGGGGGGGGGGTATGACCCCGACCGTAAACAAGTAGAGTTTGTTTTTCCGCTTAGGTCTGAAAAGTTGCTAGTAAAGGGAAAAAAATAAACATTCTATTAAATTTCTTTGCAAGAAATGTTTTCTCATATTTCAGCTATAAATTCATATTTAAATTTCTCAATTTGCATATCATGCCACTCATGGATTTATAGGGGACCAGGACCCCTCTCCTTTTTGTGACCAAAATATAAATAAAATTCGATTAATAAATCAATGTCTTGTATGACTGAGGGGACCTACTCCGACCTTTGCTGCCCTCCTTTTCAAGATTCCTGGATTGGTTAATGCATACATAATCTGAATGTCAAAACTAGTTCTTTTTTCTTTACTGATACACGTATGTATACTTACTGCATAGTAGTCTTTTTTCCTTCAACCTATATCAGAACAAGATTTTTTGTTTATAAATGAGCATTCTTAAAAAAATTAATTTAACGAAACGTTTGACAGATTGATACTCAGGATTTGAGTCTAGTTAGTACATCTATCACAATATGTATTTCATTGACCATCGCATGTACATGTGCAAGTTCTGAGGGGCGCATGATTCATGAATATATCGATCATATTTTACGATAATTTTTCATTATATATAACTTTTATATCATGAATAATGCTTTTTATGTCTGATTTATATTGAATCAAGGTTATTTGCTTGACATTTATTTTCCGTTTTCCGTTCCGTTCCGTTTTCCGTTCCGCGTTTTAGCAACACCCCAAAATTGTAATAACCTCGTCCTCCCCTGTAACATTCTGATGGGAAATGTGTAGTAGTTGCTTCCCTAATTGAAGTGAGCGAGATTTAATATTTTATCCGACAATAATTACAAATATATTTTATAAACTATCCAATACTGTCTAAACCTGCCCGCAATTTCCGTTAAGAAGGGGTTGAACCAAACGTCCCATTCAACCTCTCATATAAATCTTTGATTTAAGATAGCGTATATTTTAGATTTATATTGCATTTTGACAAAAGGGTAATTTAACTCAGTTCAAACAAAAAAGAGAAATACGAGTATTTAAAAAAAAAAATTGCCTCGAAGAGAGTAGTTTTATCTCAGAAAATGGTAACATTAAACCCATAATTGGTAATTAAGGAAGGTCCCAACTTAAACGGATCTGGTTTAAATTAATACATCCCTTTTTTGTTTACTTTAGATTACTAGCATCTATTAATTTAAAGAATAGATGCACTTATTTTATGAGGAAAACTTTGTTGCTGCTATTTGAGTTGGGTTAGCTTGAATATAAATTAGATCGGGTTCGGGATATCTCAAATTCCCCCTCTTTACCCTGGATCCTGCAGGTGTCACAACAGTATTAATTTCTGCTATATATTCTTACCAAAAATGCGCAAGTTTGAGTAGATGTAACTAATTCAAAACAAACTTCTGAGAAGTTTCCTTTTCAGATCTTGTAAAACCATTCTTTATAAAGACTTTAGTACCAAAAAATACATAGCCATCCAGCAAGGCACGCAAGTTTGTTTCGGTCGAAGTCGAGCAGGTGCTTGAAAATCTGGTCTAGGGCCTAATCACTCCCCACTCTTGACAGTATATAGAACAATCAGCACGCCCTAAATTTTAATAAATCTGGTCAATACAGGAAGTTTACATGTTGTTTTTCATCTCATAAATTTTTTTTATGTTTTTAAAATTTATAATTTGACTTTTATCGTGCATTTAATGATTTAAAAAAAAAAGGGGGGGGGGAGCTTAATAGCAGTAAAAGTGATCAAAACATTATAATCGGTGTCTATCAATTTTCGCAGACTTTATTCAATTGAACATTCTCGATTGATACAATAAGGGAATTTTTTAAATGCATTTTGCAATAGAGGGCATTAGTTATGATTTAATGATTTAAAAAAGAAAAGAAAAAGGGGGGGGGGGGGCTAAGAAGCAAAGTTATACTATATCCAGCTTTGAGGATTATCAGGGAACATTCAAATATTGTAAGTTATATAAGGGTAATGTTCACCATAAATCAGGCTATAAGTTATTATCATGCAATAGGAAGTTAGCTCATATGGAATAGTGCCTTCCACATTAAACAACACAATCAACCAACGAGACAAGCCAATGCTTTATTTCAAACTTCAAAATTGATGTACTCTTGAATTTAAAGTCAGAGATTCTCAAGTGTGTAATTGCCCCTTGGTTTCTTTCGACAATTGCATAAATCTTATCAAATTCATTGGCAATCAAAGGCAGCTCACTTACTCATTAGAGCTATGCTAATTATTTTCATTTGTGTAATTAGTCTTAAAATAAATTTGACAGTACAATCTGAATCGAAGGTATTCGCTTTAGCATTTTAGGGACATGGATTTTGATTGATTTACCTCGTTTTATTCTTGCTCATGCATTCTTCACTTCTAAGGCTATAACCATTAGGAATAAAGGAATTGATAATTTTATTTATCTGGGTTTGGGTAAATTAGGGTTAGACTTGCAAATTAAGGAAAATTACAAATTATTGCTCAACTCCTGTTAAAGAACATAATCTTCTGTATGCTACAACCAGATGCTTAAACTAGAAATTCTCTTATATTCTGGAGAGGGACGTTAAACAGTATACAATCTATGAATCTTTTAGCTATGGTAAGTATTTAAAGTTTGTAGGTGTGCTGTGACCCAAAAAATAGTAGCTGAATCATGTAATATAAATTATTCCTTCTCAACTACTGACAAAGTTAACTAAATAAGGTTTTAAATGAAAGGGATTTACTTC